TATGGTTGGGGGGATCACCACAACATGAGGAACTGTATTAAAGGGTCGTGGCTTTAGGAAGGTTGAGAACCACTGCTGGAGGCTGCAGCAGCTGCTTTTGCAGGGGGAGCGGGTCTTTCCCCGGCTCGCTGCCCACCCAGTAGGGCTGGGCACCCAGTAGGGCTGGGCAACACCCAGGCGGGTTTCCCCGAGACCCAGAGTCGCTTTTCAGCTCGCCCAGGCCGCCTGGCACCCCTTTACCGGCATCCCATCAATTCATGGGCTCCAGGCTTCGGCCGGGAGAAGGGGCAGGCAGGCACCTTTCCCAGGGACACCATGTGTGTATGTGAATGAGGCTGTCCTCCCGAACCTGGCCACAGGCGTTTGTTTTGAAAATGTGAACAGATAGCTTCATTTTCCAAGGAAGAGCATATCTGTTGAGCTTTTTCCCTGCTCAGAAGGCGGGGAGGGGAGAGGTTCAGTCAGTGTGGAAAAGGCGCAGCTAAATCTAAAGGGAAACTTGGTGTTTGGTCGCGTTTCCTTGCTCTGGAAGCACCGATGGAGTGACTTGCATTGCTCTCTGGTGCGCGGTCGCCGGGACAGCTTTCCAGGTTCTGAACTGTCCGGACTGAGCGGTGGTGGCTGCTGGGTGGAGCGGGAGAGCCTGTGATCACCCCTCTTCGTGAGAGGGACACTTCTAGCGCTGTCATTGCGTGGGTCTTTAGACCAAAGTGTTTAAAATTTAAGTACCAGCCCAATATCCCGGAGTGTTTCACTTCTTTCACCTGTTTTTCTAATACAATAAACAAAACCGTGGAGATAGCTGGTGAAGGGGCCAGAAGCATTGCAGGGTGCGCACCAAGTGCCTTGTTTAGAAATTATTTGCTTGCGTTGTATTCATCTATCTTCTTAGCTTCCACTCCCTGCCTGGCATGGAGGAGGCACTTACATAAAAGCTTCCCAACTGAATTGCTGTGTCCATGAAATTTACCAACTTGAAAGTGATGACAGACTGCAATGGCATATGGCCATGCCCATTGACACATCGAGTCTGTTACCAAGGGAAGGCTCATAAGAACTCCATATGTTAACGGGGCTTTCCTGGATGTGTAGGGGCTCACGTAGCATATTTCAGTCTCTCTGTTCAGTGATTACTTGCCAGTGTGTTACTTACCCTGCAGTCATTCCGAATTACCACGAAATTTTTTCCTGTTCTCCAGCAAGTTAATTCTGCGCCAAAGGAATATTTCTTTTAATCTATGGCTCTTATAAACTTTAGTTTCTATGATGGCATAAGTGGAGAAGAGTTGCTTAATTGCTAAGTCACTTAGTATAAAAAAATTGTCCTCCCCTGAAATTAGGACAGTTTTTTATGCAAGTGAAATAGAAGCGTTTAACTTTATTAATCTGAGGCATAAATAAAATGTTCTTTTTGCTAAAATGGCTTGAGTCTAATTGTGACTTATTGGCCAACCTATCATAAAAATCCTAGGAAAGACCACCTTCCATTTGACAGCTGTATTTGAGAGCTTGGAGGTACAAGGCACTGCTCATCAGCAGTGTGAGGAAGGACAAAGCTGAGAGCCATGGCGTTTGTCCTCCACAATGTAAGGAGTGAATGTGAGAAATACAAAACAAAGAATAGAATTCCCATAAAATGGTTTCGAACAAGCTATGTGTAGTGTGTGTGTGTATGTGTGTGGTTTTTTTTTTAAAAGTATATTTGTATTGATTTTAGAGAGGAGGGGAGAGAGAGATAGAGGTAGAAACATCAATGATGAGAGAGAATCATTGATTGGCTGCCTCCTGCACACCCCACACTGGGGATCGAGCCCACAACCCGGGCATGTGCCCTTAACAGGAATCGAACCTGGGACCCTTCAGTCTGCAGACCGATGCTCTATCCACTGAGCCAAACCAGCGAGGGCTAGGTGTAGTTTTAAGGAAACAGGACCCTCAGGAAAGGCTTCCCAGAGAGTGGTTTTGGGAGTGGAGTTGAGGGAGGAGGATAGAGGGGAGGGGAGTGGAGGGGTCACTATTCCAGGCAGAAGGAATGTACAGGACAGGCCTGACTCCGGGGAGAAGGTTCTGTGGGACTGAGCAGAGCATGTATAGAGCCGCTGCAGGAGAAAAGCCTGGAGAAGGTAAGAGCCATGTGAGGATGATCGCCAGGGGGTTTCCTCATTTGGTGGACATGGGGAGACATTGGAGATTTTTTAATGATTTTTGAGTGGCATCGGTTGGCAGCATCTAGAGCTTGTGGTAACGAGTTTGTCAAAATAAAGAGGAAAGGCGTGAAACCTGGCGTTTCCGAACGTGGTGCTTAGTGAGGTTTTCTTTTTTCCTTTGGTGAACAGGAAGGAGAATAGGGTGTGGAGGAAGGAGGTGAAGCTCGCTATAGGAGACTAGTAATAGTAACAGAGGAGAGGCAGAATGTTGGTCCTAAATAACAGATCCTCAGCCTCCTCTTTTCATAGAGTAGGTTGGGGGTGGGATTATTTGAACTATTTACTCAAAATGAACATGGTAGACAACTCTCAACCCTTTTGATAAGCACTATTGAGAGGCTACTGAACTGTGAGGGCAGAAAATAATTACAAATCCAAATGAGTAAAGAGCAAAGGCTATTAAGCACTTTATATACTGACTCTGTCCCCGTAAGTTAGGTTTGATAGTATTGTTTCTGGGTTAATGTTAAGAGGACGGGGCATAGGAAGGTAAGTAACTTGGTCAACACCCCAAAGCCTAGTGAGAGGTAGGGCAGCTGTTGTGCCTCCAAGTGAAGTGAAACACATTGTCCCTCAATACATGAAGCTGACTGAAGCGCACAGTGTGAGCCTTGAACCTCTGTTTTGAGGATCTGTATAGTTCAAGATAGATAAGACATGATGTTTGTAAGTTAAGAGAGAGGGAAGGTAGCTCTGGTGGGAAAAAACTGCCAGAATCTGTAATTTCGAAGCCCTACTCATTTACAGAATATTGCAATAAAATACTCCTTGACTTGTGGGCTTTTTGGCTTTTAGATTATAAGCTCCTTGAAGCCGAGAGTTGTGTTTTGGGGGGATGAAATGGAGTGGAATATTGCATATATGGGCATATAAATGTAAGGTTAGAGCCGTGCTTCTCGACTAGGTTAAATTTACCCCCAGGAGACACGGGGCCAGTTCTGGAGACAGTTTTTGATGGGGTGGGGGCTACTAACAGGATGAGTAGAGGCCTGAACGCTCCTAAACACCATATGCATAGGGAAATCCCCAACAACAGGGCTTCCCCAGCCCAGGAGTCAGTGATGCCGAGGTTGTAAACTCGGAGCTAGTGAGCCAGGTTGGCTGTTAACCAGCATTGGCTGAGCCACTCCAGTGGAACGGGTCTTTCACACAGATCTTAGCTCTCCAGTCACATGTTTTCTATCCAGATGAGCAGTATTCCATGATCTCTGTCACCTGGGCCTTTTGCTCAGTTGAAGTTGGCCGTGTGTTGCTAAATATGTGTTGCATACTCTCTAGCTGACTGACTGACTATGCGCCTGTCTCCTGGATGTTTGCTGCAGGCTTTAGAGAAATGGAGACACTTCGCAATGGTACTGATGGCGGGGCCATGACTATAAGGACCTCTGTAAATGTAATGTAAATGCTTTCTTAGGACAGTCTTAGATTGCTGTCTGTAAATGTCGGGGGTGATTCTGGGAAATAGGTGAGAAGGTATGTGGAACCATAAAGGTACTGATTTTCAGGTCAAACTTTTTTTTTTTTAATATATATATTTTTTATTTCAGAGAGAGGAAAGGAGAGCAAGAGAGAAATAGAAACATCAATGATGAAAAAGAACCATTGATTGGCTGCCTCCTGTATGACCTCCACTGGGGATTGAGCCAGAAACCTGGGCATATGCCCTGACTGGGAATTGAACCATGACCTCCTGGTTCATGGGTCGTTGCTCAACCACTGAGCCACACTGGCCGGGCATCAGGTCAGACTTTTAAGCCCAAGTAACTTTCATTGATACTACTCACCTAGAATTAGTACTTTCATTTTCCCTCTTGTTTTGCTCATTCCACCAAGCAAACGCTGCTTGAACACAGCTCAGAAAAGTTTTGTTCTTTTAAAAAAACTGGAGAATTAGACATCTGCAGTGAAACATATGTTCAGTGTTCTGACCTTTCCGCCTGGTACTGTTTTGCCAGGTATTTGGCAATATGTCTACTTTTCAGTGCTGGTGTTGCCCTCGGGATTCTGGTGGACCAGGGAGGAGGTGAGAAAGGTCACAGTAAAGGTTCACGAGTCCCTTAGTCAGAAAATGCTCGGGATGATTTGGGGGCTGAGCGCAGAGACAGGTAGTTGGTTCTTGGTGGAGTCAAAACTTCGATTTGGGAAGGACTAAGTATTCCATTAACACACTTTTGCTATATGAACGTTGATTTCTATGAAATTTAGCTTTTAATATATCATAAAAATTATATATATAATATTTAAACATCCAAGGACTGACATTTTCCAGAGGAAGTGGTATATATATAT